TTGTGAGCTCTGGGGTCTCCTGCCTGACCTGGCCTCATTCTTCCCACGCATTTTCCCTGGCCCTCCCATCTCCAGGTGAAGAGCAATGAGGAAGGCTTGCGGATGATAGAGGATCTGGGCCACTACTTCCGTGATGTTCACCTCTGGTGGATGGGGCCCTTCTACCCTGTACTGCGGCTCGTCCACCCTACCTTTGTTGCACCCCTGCTCCAGGCCCCAGGTATCTCTCCCAGGATCCCCAGCCTAGCCACTCCCCTGCTCCTGCTCCCAGCCCTTCCCATTCCTGGACAGACCAGGTTGAACAAGGAAATGGGTAATGTTGACAGAGAACTGCCAATAACCAAATGAATGACTCCGGGCAGGTCCCTGGCTCTCTCTGGTTGCCAGTCCCTTTCAGTTTTGAGTGGTGGAAATTCAACACTGTTGGTCTAAGTAAAGAAAGTGAATCTATTGACTGAAAAGCTGAGAGAATATTGTCTTTAGGTATAGTTGACATGGTTGGATCTTGGTCTTCAAACAGTGCCATTGGGAATCTGTCTTCATCTTGTAGTTCTGTGTTCTTCTCTGACAGCTTCCCTTTCACGCTGATAAAGACAAGTCCGAGAAGCTCAGCTCCCATGGAGATGTGAGCTCATTCTCTGCAGACCTGGAAAAAGTTGCAGGATTCTTTTAAATTGGCCTGGCCTGGGTCACAGAGACCAGTTTTTCATCTAGTCACTGAGACTTGATTGCTGAGGCTTAGGGTCATAGGCTTAGCTCTGGAACAGTGAATGGGGTGGCATGGTCAACCTCCTAATTACCTGGACTGAGAGTGGAGGAGCAATGAGATGCTAGTTCCAGAAGGGGATGGATGCTGGGCAAGTAGATACCACAGGTGTTCAGCCACTGGCATCACAGCTAGGTGGGCATTTCTTGGGTGAGGAAACCAAGGCTCAAGGAGGCATAATAACTTCTGAAGGCCACATAGTATGTTGAAGCTTCCCTCTTTTGTGTGTTCTTGGCTGCTCTAGCTGCCTCTGCCGGAAGGGACTCTAAGCTGGAAAGGGATTTGGGGTATGAAGATGGCCAGAGTATTTTGGGGGAATGCCTACCAGATCTCAGGTCGGTCAACTGTCTGGTTGGCCCTGGGGGGCTGGTCTAGAGCCCAAGGGCAGCTCTTCGTGGTGGGTGGAGCTCAGCGTCTGAGGGTGGCAGCATCCTTTGGTCTCTTTAAGGACATAGCAACTCCTTACCTAAGCATTTAATGGCCAGTATGAGGTGGAAGAGGATACTGAGGAAAGCTAGGTCATGCCTGGGCCATGTCTGGGACATTAATGGGAACTTTAAATCCTGTCTGGACCATTTGTGGGTCACACTGAGGTCATGTCAGGTTGTCTTTGGGTCCATGTCAGAGCACATTGTGTCCTGTCAGTGTGTGTTACACATGTTGTTTCATGTCAGGACATGTTAACACATGGTGGGGCCATGTCAGTTGTTGCACGAGAGGTCAGGGGTTCTGGGGGCAGATGAGGTGTCCTAGGTCCCAGTAAAGACATTTTGTGGATTTGTGTTTGGGGTTTTGAACACGTTGGACCAGGTAGGAGCCATGTCAAGATGTGCTGGGGTGTGTTGTGCCATGTTAGGGTGCATCTAAGTACATGGGGGTGTGTCTGCAGGTTCTGCCTTTGTTCTGCTCTGTGCTGCAGCCCGGTCTGGGCCCCCTTCATCTACCCACTCCTCTCTGTTTCCTCCGCTCTTGTTCCCATTCCTGCTATGCTGGGCTTGGAGGGGGTACGCTGGTTGGGATCGTCCACCTCCCAACCAAAAGCCCCTCCCCACCTTTTCTCCATGGCTCCTGATTGTCTATCTCTTGTGTCAGCCACCATCATACCCAAGGATATGCTTTTCTACAACCTCCTGAAGCCCTGGCTAGGTGAGTAACTGTTGGTGAAGGGGGTTGGTTGACCTCAAGGTTGACCTTGAGGTCTCAGGGGAAGGCACCGCCCTTGTCCATTCCGTGTGACTGCCTCTACTAGGGGATGGGCTCCTGCTGAGTGCTGGTGACAAGTGGAGTCACCACCGTCGCTTGCTGACACCTGCCTTCCATTTTGACATCTTGAAACCCTATGTGAAGATTTTCAACAAAAGTGCAGGCATCATGCATGTGAGTTCCTTAAATCCAGGGTCCCAGCTGGGGCCTTGGGAAAAGGGAAGTAGCCTCAGACACATATGATCTGGAGTCCTGGCTTTACTGTATGGTTTTAGGGCCATTCCTTTTTCTCTCCAACCTTCTGTTTCCCCATCTGTAAAGTGTGTGTGTGTGTGTGTGTGTGTGTGTGTGTGTGATATAAGCCCGGCTTAAAGGGTGGTCAAGGTGATATAATGGAATCATGATCCTGGCACATAAAAGGTGCACAGAATGTTTTAGTTTCTAGTCTGCCTCACTGAAACTGTAAAATTCAAGACATAAATGATGAAGATTGTATAGTAGCTCTTTCTGCAGAGCATTCACATTAAAACTCACTGGGTTGAAAAAAATGAATGTTTGTTGTTGCTTCCAAGATGATGAATTAGTAGAGTAGTTCTTATCTTGCCTGGAATCACTCACACATCTGTGGTCATGGGCGGGTTTGGGAGACAACTCTGCTTGACCAGGCTCAGCTCTGCTGCTTGTTTGTGCACTGGTTAGGATTGTCTTGGTGAAACAGCTGGATGCCTGCATTTGTCCCTCATCCTCCAATAAGCTAGCCTGGGCTTGATCACATGGTGGAGGCTCCAAGAGAATGAAGAGGAACATGCAATATCTCTTGAAGTTTAATTTCAGAATGGGCAACTATGACCTCCACCTTCCTCTGTTGGCCAAAGCAAGTCCCACATTCAGCTCCAGAACTGGAGAAAAAGGTTCTACCTCCTAATGGAAGACCTGCAAAATCTCATTGCAAAGGGTGAAGGTATAGGGAGGGACAAAAATGGGGACATTTTTGCAGCAGTCACCTACCACTATGATAATGATGAAGACGAGGATGATAGCTAACAGTTATTCGGCACTTGCTGTATATCAGAAACGATGCGCCAGTTGTACTGCATATGTCGTCTAATTTAATTTTCACAACCATATGAGGTAGAGATGATTATTATTGCCCCATAACGGATGATGAAATTGAGGCTCAGAGAGATTAGAGCACTTGCCCATGTTCACATAGCTAGCAAGTAAACTAATAAGTGAAGCTGGGATTCCAACCTGGTTTGTCTGACACCAAAGCAAGTCATCCTGTTACTAAAGTTTGACAGAGAGAGCCCAATGAACTTTGACAGGAGGAATGAGTTGACTAAGAGCACACAGAGTATAGGAGGCAGAGCCAGGTTTTGAACTCAGGTCTCCTGACTCCCGACCACAGGGTCTCACCCCACCCCCCCCTTTAATGGCGTCTTAATAGTAACAGTTTCCACTTTCACCCAAGCCTGGTCCTTCCTGGTGTTGGGTGTCTGGGGTGGAGGATCAGGAGGCTGGGTCTGGGGGAGTCCAACTTGGTGGTTGGGCTGAGGAGGAGCTCAGGAGTGTCAGGTCCCAGCCCCAGATTTGCCCCTTTCTCTGTCCAGGCCAAGTGGCAGCATCTGGCCTTGGAAGGCAGTGCCCATCTAGACATGTTTGAGCACATCAGCCTCATGACCCTGGACAGTCTGCAGAAATGTGTCTTCAGTTTTGACAGCAATTGCCAGGAGTGAGTCTGTCCAGGGCATGGGAACATGAACCATAGACCCAAGGGAATGGATGGGGAAGGGAGGTCTGACCAGGGCAATCAGAAGGGACTTCCTGGAGGAAATGGATCAGAAGTAGACATTGAAGGACAAGGAAGGGAAAGAGAAAGAGTGATCGTTTCGGTAGGTAGAAATGTTTAATAAAGTCCAGGGGACTAGGATGAGCAAAGCATGTGTCATAGTGAGGAGCCACCTTGGGAATGAGGTTGGAGGGCTTGGCAGGGGTTATATCTTAAGGACATTTAAAATCCAGACAAAGGCATATGAAATTTCTCCTGAGGTTTCCAGGGAGGCATGGAGGGTGTTTGAATAGATGAGGGTCATGGTCAAAGCTGTTTTTGGACATCTGATTCTAGAGAAGACCAGCTGTTTAGTATAGACACAGAATTCAAGGAGACCATGGAGAGGAGGAGGCTTGAATTTGGCAGAGAAAATGGGGCAGATTTGGGAGAGACTAAGGAAGAATGGGCAGGGTCAGATATTGTGTAGGAAAGAGAGGAGACAAGCATGATGCCCAAGCTCTACTCTGGAGTCTGGGACATGAGGCTGTCATAGAGGTGGGATATAGAGGGAGAAACATGCCTGGAGAACTCTCTTGTTTTGGGTAAAGGCCAGGGGGCTCTGATGAGCAAAGCATCTGCCACAGTGCTTCTGGGTTTCTGGTTGGAAGGCACTCCTAGGGTTTCATGTGGGTTAAAAAGGTGTTTCTTAAGGTTCTCTCTGGCCTGGCCCTGCAGGAGTCCCAGTGAATATATTGCTGCCATCTTGGAACTCAGTGCCCTTGTGGTGAAACGGCAAGAGCAGATCTTCCTGCACGTGGACTTCCTATACAATCTCACTCCTGATGGATGGCGCTTCCGCAGGGCCTGTAACCTGGTGCACAACTTCACAGATGCTGTCATCCAGGAGCGGCGCCGTGCCCTCATTAGCAGGGGTTCCCATGACTTCCTCAAGGCCAAGGCTAAGACCAAGACTTTGGACTTCATCGATGTGCTCCTGCTGGCCAAGGTGGGCTTCCCTGGGATCAGAATTCAAGAGATAAAATGGACCTTGACTTCAAATGTCACGTGGAAGGACTTGGACTTGACCTGTAGGGCACTGGGCAACCACAGAAGGTGCTTGAGGAAGGGAGAGATGGGTCAGCGATATGTTTTAGACATGACTCTGTAGAAGGCAGTGTGGAAGGGATAAATAAAAGACTGGAGACCAGGGAGGAGACCTGTGGGGTGGGCCCTAGAGATGATGAAGGACAGATCCTACTTTGATTATAGAGCCTGAGGGACTGTTTCAGATTAGACTCAGACACACTCAGAGCTGGCGTGACTCAAGAGGTCCTCTCCTTTTTCCAGGATGAAGATGGAAAACAATTGTCAGATGAGGACATCCGAGCAGAGGCTGACACCTTCATGTTTGAGGGTGAGCATCCCAGTGTGGGAATATGGGGGGTGGGGCAGGGGTCTGGCAGGGGTCTGTCCAATCCCAGGAACTTGATAGGTGGGCCCTGGACCAGCCCACCCCACCCCAATCCTCCCTGGGGGCCTTAATTAAAGGCGCTGTCCACCTTCTGGTGCTGAATAAGCCCAGAGACCCAAGCCTGTCTGGCTGCTTCTCAGGCCATGACACCACAGCCAGTGGCCTCTCCTGGGTCCTGTACAACCTTGCAAAGCACCCAGAATACCAGGAGCGCTGCCGACAGGAGGTGCAAGAGCTCCTGAGGGACCGTGAGCCTCAAGAGATTGAATGGTGAGTGCAGGTCCTCATGGTTTGTTCCTGAACCTCTCTCTTTGGCTTTGCTCCCCAGCTGGGGAGAGCAAAGAACTTTTTGTTAACTCTGGCATTATTGTTTCCTGGAAATAAGAGCAGAGCCTAGAGGCAGCCTGGTACCTAGCCTGGAAAGCAGGGAAATCTTATAGGCGTATGCAACAGAAAGATCTGAGTGTCCACATTTCATTCTCTGCTTACTTGCTATGTAACTTTAATAAAATCAGTTCCCTTTTCTCAATACCACTTTTCTCCTCTGTAAATGGGGGTGGGGCAGGGAATCTCTTCTCCACAGGACTGCTTGGAGAACTGTGACAATGGGTTTAGAGCAGATGGCATCCAGCATGTATGTGTTCAGTAAATGAACTTCTTTTCTCCCTTGCTTTTCTGTCTGGAGTTGCATGTTTTGCCCAAAGATCTTCAGTCCCCTTAATTTTTGCTCTTATATCTAATTACCACCTAACAATCTATTGCAGGGAGTCACAAGAAGTTTTTGGGTGTTTTCTTTGTTCAATAAACGTGTCTAGACTGCTTGCCCTCTCCCAACTCTGTGTCCAGTCCCATTCAAGTCTTACCTGGGCAAATCTGGGTGGATAGGAAAGAAGGTGGGTGAGGTTGGGCAGTGAAGCAGCAAACAGGAATTTACCACTCTGGTTGGGTAGTGGACCATGCTCCAGGCCTTGGGGATACCTTGTGCAAAGGCCAGGTTAGAGGCATACAGGAGTGAGCCTGGCATGTTTGGCAGGAGGTAAAAGTAGGCTGGATCTTCATGAAATTTAGAGTGTAAAGAATCAGAGGGGCTCCCAGTGAGGCTAGAGCTGGTAATGGAAGTCCTTTTAGGAATGCTTTGGAAACCATGTGAAGAATTTCCAAAGGTGGGAGTTCAAGTCCTTTGGGAAGCCAATATTGGATAAAAGATAAAATAAAAGTGGGCAGGGATGCTGCCATTAGGGGAGTCTTACATTTGGGCAGAAATGGTCAGGAAGTAGGGACCCATCATGCCCTGTCATTGACTGGGAACTGCCTAAGAAAGCAAGAGCTTGGCTTGAATACTGCCATGGATCCCAGAGACCCTATAACTGATGCTGTCAGCCAACTGCACTCCTTGCAGCTGGACAGCAAGCTCTTTTTTGAAGGGAGATTCATGATTAACATAGGATGGCAATGGGGAGCCATGGGAGATGTTTGAGCAGAGGAGAGAAAAGTCAGATATTATTAAAAATATATGTAGTTATAGGGGCAAACTGGAGGTGATGAGCTGGAGCCTGGGAGCCCAGGATGCAGATTTGGGGCCAAGAGCTGAAGGATGCAGAGGAGATATTAGACCAAATACTTTGGAAGTAGTGCCCTCAACTTCAAGGCTTTGCTTAGTGCAGCAGCTCTGTGACATGGAGAAGTGTTTTTCTGCTTCTTCCAACTTCAAACAGTTATGCACTTGGTAAAAATTCAAACAATATGAAATGGTTTACCATGGATATAAGGCTTTGTCTTTTTTTCTTTCTCAGCTCTATTGAGATATATTTGATATATAATATTGTGTAAATTTAAAGTGTACAACACAAGGATTTGTATACATGTAAATTGCAAGATGAGTAGAAGGTTAACCTCTTCTATTATTTCACATGCGCTTCTGTCTTACGCCAGCACCCCAACCCCATCCCCACCTTTGATGGTTTCCTGTGTCCTTCAGTCTATGCCAACATGTATCTGTCCACCAATTCTTACTTCAGTTTTCTTTCTACAACTAAGAGTATACACAGAACATTCAGGCATGCATGTTGACAATATAACTTCAAGATCTTTTCATTTTTTTTTCCAAGATATAAATTTTGGGAAATTAATTTGAATTACAAAATCAATAATGGGAAGAAGACTTTTTATTTTTTCTGCACAAAATGAAACACTATGGAGACGATTAGGTTCACCTTTGTTGCCCTCCCTCCAAGCCTAATCAATCCCCTGTCTCCTGAGGGAACTCTGGGGACATCAATTTGTCATATGTCCTTTCAGACTTTTCTGAAATTCTTATAGTTACAAATTTATATTAATTATTATAGTTTAATAGAAATGCATGCTCACACATTTGGTCACTTGTTCTTTTCACTCACTATTGCATCTAGAGCTCCTTTTTGAGTGCTATATAGCATTGCATAAATTATTCAGCTCACCCCTCTGTTCGGGACATTTATGTGAAGATCTGTAGTTATGATAGATATTGCTGAACTGCCTTTCAGCATCTCTGTACGGATTTGCCCTGCAGTGTATGTTAGGACTAGTGATCCCTCTTTCCTCCTTTTTGATAGCTGTATAGTATTCCACCACATGGATGTACTGTGATTTATCTAAACATTCCTCTGTTGATAGATACTTGTAATTTGGGAGCTTTTGCTATAATAAACATGATGTAGGAAACATCCATGTACACTGACTTTTGCTCATGTGTGTGGATGTCTCTCCAGAACAAATTTCTAAAAGTGGTGTTACTGCATCAAAGACCATTTGAGTTTTCACAGTTTAATAGCTCTTGGCAAATCCACTCCTACAAATGGATTTTCAGAGTGCAGTTTCCTTGCATCTTCACTGACAGTGTGTTATGGAACTTTAAATAAGTTAATATAATACTTTGTTATTCTAATAAATATCACTTTAAGTAGGGTAAAACTGAGCACTATTTCCATATGTTTATGAACCATGCATATTTCTTTTCCTGCAAAGCATCAGTTTGTGTAATTTGTCCTTTTTACTTTGAGTTTTTTTTTCTTACTGATTTATAAGGACTCTTTAAATAGAAAGAGCATTAGTTGCTTTTTTATTTTTATTTTTTTAAAAGATTTTTATTTATTTGACAGTGAGAGACACAGCGAAAGAGGGAACATAAGCAGGGGGAGCTGCAGGGAGAGAGGGAGAAGCAGGCTTCTCACTGAGCAGGGAGCCCGATGCAGGGCTCGATCCTAGGACCCCGGGATCATGACCGGAGCTGAAGGCAGACCCTTAATGACTGAGCCACCCAGGCGCCCCTTATTAGCTTTTTTTATAGCTTCTTTTTTTTTTTAATGCTTGGATAAGCCCTTCACACTAATGCTAAACTGTAAAACTTGTTTGATTTTCTTCTAGTGGATTTATTTATTTAAAAATGTTATTTAACTTAAATTTTATATAACATTTTTATTATTATTTCTTACATTTAATCCTTTTTCCATATGAAATCCATACTGGTCTAAGTGCTGAAGTAGGAATCTGTTTTTTTCTCCAAATGGTTAACTGATTATTTCAACAGAATTTGATACGTATTTTTGTATTTGTCTTAGGATTTTAAATAACAGTTTTACAATAAATTAAATTTGTTCGCATATTAGGGTTTATCTCTGGACTCCATTCTGTTCTATCTATTTACATATTCAAACATAAGTACTAAGTAGTCTTCCTGATCATATTAAAAAACATTTTCATACTTGATAAAGTTGGTCCTGTCTCATTACTTTGCATTTTTTTCTTGCTTTTTAACTTATTTCATTTGATTCTGTGATTGGATTGGGTAGTTTGAAAAATACTCTTGACAGTTTTAATTAGTTAGTTATTTGGGCATCAGGTGCCAAAGATGAAGTTAACCGTGGCCCTCAATTCATGACTAATTATCATCATTTTTCTATACAATACTTACTTATTCCCATTTATCCCAATTCTCCACTTCCAGCCCTCCACCAGTATGATTCTAGAGCATTTAATCCGTTTGTTTACATAATTTGTTGTTTTGGGTGGATGTATTTTAAAATTCACAAATATGTGTTATATCACAGATCAGGTTCTGCTGGTTCTTACATTTTTCAGAAACATAGCACTATGATTTTGTTAGACATCCCTGGTTCTGTGTTGCATTTAGGTTATTGCTTTGAAATGTCATGTAGAACTTCCCTCTCCAGTCCCTCAGAGCTTAATACCCAGGAGGGCTTCCATCTCATTACTGCAGTGAATATCTTGGTGTGCATGTCTTTATCTACCTGTCTGAGAATTTCTCTGGGTTCTATGCCCAAGAGCCAGCTTGCTAGGTTGTAAAACACCCATTACCTTTCCTTGATCACACTGATGCCTTCTAGAGTGGTGGCTCCTGACCATACATTCACTATCAGCGCATGAGGTCTCTCTACCCCTACACCTCAGCTACTTAATCCTAGCCATCACCCACCTTGTTAATTCTCCCCTTGAGTAGATGTGAGATAATATTTCATTGCTAGATATTTTCCATTTCTCTCATAACCAGCGACTTTGAGCTTCTCTTCATGTTTTAAATCTCTGAGTTTGAGCTCCTGTGAATTCCTAATCGTGTTCTTTGCTTATCTTTTGAGCCCCTGTCATCTCTCTTGTTAATTTGCAGGAATTTCTTGTATATTCAAGATGCTGTTCTAGATCTATCTAGCTATTGCAGATAATCTGCGAATCTCTCCTCTGAATGTTAATTTGGTCACTGGTGTCTTTTGTTAAACAGAAATCCTTAATTCTGTGCATATTCCCCCCCCCCTTTTTTTTGTCTTCTAGTTTATGTGTTGGGGGTTTTAAGAATTCCTTCCTACTCATAGGTCACAAAGATGTCTTCTATGTTATATCTTCTTTTAACTTTATGGTTTTATCTTTTAAGTATAAGAGAAGACTCCATCTTGATGTGGAGTGTGTGATAATCCAGTTCTTTTTGTTTCCACATCATCTGTGGTCTGAGCCATCCATTTTCCAGGGGTTGTTGGGCCTCCTTTACAGATGTTACATTTTTACATATTCATGTGCCTGTCTCTGAGCTCTCTATCCTGTCCCATGGGTCTGTTTTCCTGTTCTTGCAACAGTGTCATGCTGTTATTTTATTTTATTTTATTTTAATACCACACTTTTTCTGGTGGATGAATTCCCTTTCTTCAATTTTTGTTTTTAATTTGATATAGCTCTTGAACTTTATTTTTCTTCAAATGCAATAACATCATTGAGTTCCAAAAAAACAACAACTAGATTTTTACTGGATTGCCTTGAATATATCAGTTAACTTGCAAGAATCCACATCTTTATAATATTAGGTCATCCCACCTTAGAGTGTGGGTCTCATTTGTTCAAATAACCTGTTAAGTCCAGTATAGAGATTTTTTTTTCCCTTTTCAGCCAATTGTATACCTTAAAAAACTTTCTTATGCAAATGTGTTAATACTTTTAAGGATTCCTGTGAATGGTGTGCTTTGCTCAGAAATGCTTCTAGGGTGCCTGGGTGGCTCAGTTACTTAAGGCACTGCCTTCACTCAGGTCATGGTCCTGGGATCAAGACCCACACTGGGATCCCCCTGCTCTGTGGGAAGCCGTCTTCTCCCTCTCCCTCTGCCTGCCAATTCCCCTGCTTGTGCTGTCTGTCAAATAAATAAATAAATTCTTAAAAAAAAAAAAAAGAAATTCTTCTAAAACTACCAGGCTAAATTTCCTTCTAGTGATTTTTGTGATTTTGATTTTCTAATGCCTAAGTCTTTGGCCCATCTGGAATTTATTTGTTATAGAAGTGAGGGTCAGAGCAAGATGGGGAGAGGGTCTTCAGGGGCAGCAGGAGGGCTGGGGGAGTCTTTGATTCGATCCCTGGATAATTGTTGGGAGTCTTCCTTAGGGACGACCTGGCCCAGTTGCCCTTCCTGACCATGTGCATCAAGGAGAGTCTGCGGCTGCACCCCCCGGTTACAGTCATTGCCCGCTGCAGTACCCAGGATGTCGGGCTCCCTGATGGCCGGGTCATCCCCAAAGGTGTCCACAGCATCAGGGGGAGGAGGGTGGTAGTCCCATCAGCTGAGACCTCACCCTGACTGTTACTCTTTTCCCTCATAGGGAACATCTGTGTCATCAGCATCTTTGGGATTCATCACAACCCGTCTATCTGGCCGGACCCTGAGGTGCTATTCCTCTCTCTTCTCCATCCCTCCACCCAATGAAGCAGCAGGGTCCTGACCGGGGAAGTCAGATATTCTCTTTCCACTATATCCACATCAGTCTTTTCTAGGGTTGTCTGGGTATCTTGGGAAACCCCACCCAGCAGCCTTGCCTCTCTCCACCCTTAGGTATACAACCCCTTTCGCTTTGACCCAGAAAACATCAAGGAGAGGTCACCCTTGGCTTTTATTCCCTTCTCTGCGGGGCCCAGGTGAGCTCAGGGGGCATCCGAGGTGGGAATGGGGTGGTGTGGCAGGGGTCTGGGACTGAGATCCCAGACAAGGCTATGGGGCGGGAAAGGGGGAAATTGAGGATGGCTCTCCTTCTCTCCCCTCCTCCAGAGGTTAGAGGTAAGGGTCTGGGAAGTGGAGGTAGGGTAGGTCCAACTGGGGGTCCGCGGTATGGGCCGCGCCCCTTCCCCCGTCTGCTGGCCTGAGTCCAGGGCTGGGGTCCGAGCCAAGCTCGGGGATAGGCAAGCCCACATGGGGGTCCCAGGCATGGTTTGCTCCCCTTCTGGATCCCTGCGGGCGGGGCAAAGGGTCCCGGACCAGGTTCTGGGCGCCATGGGGCCTGCTGGGGTCCCTGGCGAGTCAGAGCCCCCACTGGTGCCCGCAGGAACTGCATTGGGCAGACGTTCGCCATGACCGAGATGAAGGTGGTCCTGGCGCTGACGCTGCTGCGCTTCCGGGTCCTGCCGGGCGAGGAGGAGCCGCGCAGGAAGCCGGAGCTGATCCTGCGCGCGGAGGGCGGACTCTGGCTGCGCGTGGAGCCGCTGAGCGCGGCACCCCGGTGACCCAGACCCTACACGCCTCACTTTGCGGATTCCCGGGAATGAAACTGTGCCATCTCTTCTGTCCGAGCTTCATCGAGAGCCAGCAGGGGGCGCTTGGGACCTGTGGGCACGCAGGGGTGGGCGAGGCGGAGTGGAGGGGAGGCTGATCTGAGCCCAAGACTCTGACTTTCCAGCTGACTACAGGCCCCATGCTGATTGTGGGTTCTCTCAGAGTTCATAATAAGTTAGTTTATCCTGTAGGCAATAGGGAGCCGTGGGAGGTGTTTGAGCAGGAGGGAGACCAGGGTTAAGGACTGACTTAAGGGGCATGTCTGAGGTTCTGGGTCACAGAGGAGAACCCGTGGTGGCACTACACTCTGATCACCCTGCTCTCTGTTCCTAGCTAATAAACCCAAACTTCTTTTTACCTCAGAATCCTTTACTATGTTTCTATAGTTACTCTGTTTATTTCAACACAGCAAATATAGATACTTTATCCCGTGTATCTGATCATTGCAATCACTGTGTCTGTTATACAGCCTGTTTTTGGTGGTTTTCCCTGGTAGGGTCGTTGTTCTTGTGTGCCTGGTTATCTTTGTCTGGGTGTTGGTTATGATATTTGAAATAACATTTGTAAAAAAAAAAAAAACCACTTGTAGAATTTGAAGAAGGTAGCTTTTCTCTAGGGAGGAAGCCTTGGAGCCTTGCGAGTTGAAGATTATGTTAAATGAAGTTCAAGGCTTGTGGTGCCCAAGATCAGGAAAGCACTTCAAATTCTAGCTGAGAACAAACTTGCAGGGTCCTCTAGTCCTCTCACCCCGAGGGGTGTAGCTTTTTGAGGTCTCCACTTATGTAAGGACGGTCTTCTCACAATTCCTTTTTCTTGTATCACTGTAGGCTCTGCTTTTTCTCCCCTGATCATGAGGCTGTCAAAGCAGCTTCACATTTTCCTGACTTGAGAAATGCCTCCAGGGCAAACGTGTAGTACCTGTTGTTTTAGCTCTAGGCTTCTATTTTCATTTGAGTGGCGTCCTTGTAATTTTTTACTGTCTTTTCTGGTATGTATTCATTTAAGAAATTGGAAAAGTATCCAGCTGTGAGAGTTCAATTTTTTAAAAATTGAAAGTTTAATCCAAATAACCTAGCTTGCCATTAGTGGGAACAGGAAGTCTCAATTGGAATTTTAATGGTCACTCCGCTCCTGAATGTATTGAGGGTGATAATTGCCTTTAAGTGTATAGATTCCTGGACCACAAAAAAGCTCACATCAAGTCTTAAAGGAGAGGACAGCACATCATCCAGAGATCCTGGAACCTGGGCTAAATGGAAGGAGCAGATGGACTTTGAGGTTGACTGCTCTGGGGTGTTTCTTGTATAGGAAGAGGAGTGCACATTGGAGTTTTTGGTATTCAACAGTATGGACAGTATCAGAGACTGCTGTGTATCCTGATACTCTTTTTGCAAAACTTCCTGTAACCCTTAATTTTTAGTTAGGTGCATGGTAGGCTAAATACAGATAGTATTTGAGCTTCTCTTGAAACTAGATTAGCTAAATGAGTATACCCTGTCTCATATGGAAAAGTCAGAGAATATCTGGTAATTCTGGAAACCCTCCTGAAGAGAAAGCTGGAATTCTCTGTCTAGTTTCCCCCTTCTTTTTTCTTGGGAGTGGTGTGTGTAGCTGGAGCTCCCTCTTGGATCAAGAGGATAAGACCACTCTTTAGGAAAGGTGAGGCAAATAACTAAATAGAGTGAGGGTCAGATGTCCCTGATCCAGGACCTCCTGGAGTTGCAGGACTTCCTGGAGTCGTACTACCAACATCACAATCTCAGTGTGCTCTTTCCTAGCTGTGTGGGTCAGGGAAAATTGTTGATCTCTCCAAGGCTCAGTTCCATTACCACATAGTAATAGCCACCTTATTACACTGATGGGGAGATTGCATAAGCAAATGTGCAACATCAGTGAGTCAATATCTGGTAAGCATAGGTACTCAGTGAGGTTTAGTTTGTTTCTTTCTCTCTTCCTTTTACATTATGTTCTGAAATTTAAAAAGCTTCAGTCACAAAAGTTAAATTTAAGTATTGGTAAATGTGGCAACCTTCTGTTGGGGAAAACTATCATTAGAAGACCCAGTTAGTTGTAAATATCCATAGTTACCTCAGAGAAACTCCTTTGATGGCAAACTGGTCTTGAAGCTCAGAACTGAAAAAAAAAATTTTTCCCCCTGGAGAGGCATGATCTGGGTTTCGTTTTTGCCTAAATGTTTCAAGAGGTGGAGGTCACGTGGGTCTTCAATAGTGAGGTGGGGAGTGGAAATGCCTCCTTCAGCACCTGGGACAGTGGCTGTCCTTGGACTCCCTCCTCTCAGGCTGTTAGGAGCACCCACCCTGGGGTAGGGTACAGAGTCCAGGACCTCAAAACCTTTCTGGGGCTCACAAAATGGGGTCCCTGGAGTCTTACTGACTGCAAAATACGAAAGGAACACTGCACTATGAATAAATATTTAATATTTTCTAAGCTGGATATTACATGTTTTTCTTTGCTGAGTTCTTATTAAAATATTTTTCGTATTCCCAAAATGATATGCCTTCATAGGAGAAAGCGCAAAGAAGAAAAAGTAAGAAAAATCATTTTTATATCCATAATTCACACATGTCAAAATAATTACTGTTCATGTTTTCTCACATATACATCCAGCTTTTATTTATATATATAATCTTTATGCAAGTAAAAAAAATGTTATTTACATCTAAGTGTATTACATTTGCATGTAATCTCCTGCTTAGAAATGTTCTTTTACTGGCTAATAAGCCCGTGAAAAAATGCAATGTCATTAGTCATTAGGGAATTGCAAAGCAGTGCTTCCTGTGATACCACTTCATATCCATGAGGATGGCAAGAGTCTGAAAAAGGGAAAATAACAGGTCTGGTGAAGATATGGAGGAGCTGGAACCCTGATACAGTGCCGATAGGAATGTAAAATGGTGCAGCCCCTGTGCACAACATTTGGTGTTTCCTCAGTAAACAGAACTACCGTTATGAGTCACCAACCCCACGCCTAGGTATATATCCCAAAGAATTGAAAACAGGTGTTCAAAAAAAAAAAAAAAAGAAAACAGGTGTTCAAACAAAAGCTTGTACATGAGTTCATGGTGGCACTATTCACAATTGTCAAAAGTTGCATATTTGCAGAACAATCCAAATATCCATTCTCAGATGAATGGATAAACCAAATGTGATATGTCCATAGCAAGAATTTTATGGGTTATGAAAAGTATTGAAGCACTGATACATGCTACAACATGGATGAACTTTGAAAAAGTGATAATGAGTGAAATGCCAGATACTGTATGATTCCGTTACATGAAATGTGCAGGATAGGAAGATCTAGAGATACAGAAAGCAGACTTGTAGTTGCAAAGGCTGGAGCGTGGGAGCGGCGACTGGAGGGTGCCTGTACTGGGTAGGAGATCTCCTTTTTGGGTAATTAAATGCTCTGGAGCTAGTTAGAGGTGGTGGTTGCACAGCACTGTGAATGTACTAAATGCATAAAATTGTACACTGTATAATGGCTAACACGGTGAATTTTATGTTATGTGAATGTTACCTCAACAACAAAGGATTCAACTTGGTCATATATATTTTTTGTTAATCTGGGTTTTTCCTATGATACTATATTGTGAACATCTTTCCATTACATTGAATCATTTTTCCATGACATAAAATGGGGTCTTTAAAATCCCTAGGTGTTAAGTTTCAAGCCACTTTTAATCTTTTAAAATGGTATTATATTAGAAAACAATTTAAAATTTTGTCTTGGGGGGTATTTGGGTGGTTCAGTTGGTTGAGTGTCTGGCTGGGTTTTAACTCAGGTCATGATCTCAGGGTCGTGGAGTCTGCTTGACATTCTCTCTTTTTTTCTTCCTTTGCCCCTTCCCCCATTCACATGCTCTCTCTAAATACATAAATAAATACAATCTTAAGAAAAAGAAAATTTTGTCTCATTTTGCAAGAATTCTCTTCATGCACATTGATGGCTTGAGCTATGGTTATCAATTATAAATTGTGTTACTCTCAAATAACCTATTTTTCAAAAATAATTAATAGATTTTATTGTTGGTACATTTTTATTTTTTTTTTAATTTACTTATTTATTTTAGAGAGAGGGGGAGAGCGGGGGAAGGGCAGAGGGAGAGAGAAACTGAAGCAGACTCCACGCTGAGTGCAGAACCCAACATGTGGCTTGATTTCACCACCCAGAGATCAGACCTGAGTGAAACCAAGAGTCAGATGCTTAAAAGACTGTGCCATGCAGAAGTTCCTGTTTTATTTTTATTTATTAAAAAAAAAATAGTTTCCATGATGGGCATGGAGTCCAGTATAGGGCTTGAACTCAAGGCCCTGAGATCAAGACCTGAGCTGAGATCAAGAGTTAGATGCTTAACTGACTGAGCCACGCAGGTGCCCCTGTACAGTTTTCATTTTACAGAATAATTGAGCGTATACATATAGTTCTAAATATTCATCCCACCCACACCCAACACCCAATACAGAATTGGCCCTCAATCAAATAACTTGATATCAAAATTTTATTTATGGAGTAATAAATACACATACAGTTGTGTAAGATGTGGGTGTAGTTAAACACATTTCATAGAACATGGATGGCCTCGTGACTCCACAGACCCTGATGTTTTTGGTCCTGTGAACAGCAGTATGCCACTGAGAAGGGAAAAGGGAATACTTCACCTTCCCCAGGTAAACACTGATGTCATTCTCACACCAGACTCATGGGTGAAGAGAGATTAACTCACTTGCTCACAGTCATTTGGTAAGTGATGGAGTGAAGGTGAATTTGGTTAGCTTGGCTTCAGAGGTACATCTTAACCTACAAGGGAAATGATTTTCAAGGTGTGTCTCAGCCACAGATGCCTCAGATCACCTGGGAATCACTGATCTATATTCTCTACCTCCAGAGTCTGGCTTCTTTCTTGACACAATGCATTTGAGATTCACCCATGTTGTTGTATCAATACTTTGCTGCTTTTCATTGCTATGCAATATTCTATCAAAGGAACAAACCACTCTTTCTTCAGCAGGTGAAAAACATATGGATTATTTCTAATTTGG